AAATTTATTAGATAAATATTAATTAAAAAATGTAACCAAAAATTTAAAAACTAAAAAAGATAAATTTGTTAATAAAATTAAAAAATTCTAATTCGCTAGCGGTTTGGTATAAAAAGTTACATAAACTAGTTTTTTCAATCAGCTAATGATTTGGATTCTAACTGCTATTTGCTAGTCTCAAATCATTAAATAAAAATTTTACCAAATATTTTATTTGTAGCGATTTCGAAACATATAAGTTTACTAAACACCTATATTTAGTAGTTTAGGTAAAACTATTAACCACTATACCAAACGGGTCCATAAACTAACTTTTTCAATCCGCTAGCGGTTTAGATCTTAACTGCTATCCGCTAGTCTTAAACCGCTAAATAAAAATTTTACTAAACATTTTATTTGTAACAGTTTCGAAATATATAAATTTACCAAACACCTATATGTAGTGGTTTAGGTAAAACTGCTAACTGCTCACCTAAAACAACTATACCAAACAGACCCTAAGTGTAATTAATGCATTTTTTTCACATGAAAAGTGTAAATATTAATTTTAACTTAATTAATTAATTAATTAAAATTATTTGCATACCAATACCATTAAAATAAAGATTAATAATTTTTAATATTTTTTATATAAATTAATTATAAAAAATATATTTATTATATTTTTAATTTGTATCTTTTCATAAACTCAACTTAAAATTATATGAGAGACTTTAATTTGTGTCGTTTCACCTATAAATTTACTAAAATATATTTAATAACATTTTTTGCTATATTATTTTATTAATAAAATTTTAATAAATTTTCTTTAAAGCATATGTTAGAAAACCCTTATTATTTTTCTAATACATGTTTTGTTTTAATTTAAAGAAAAACAATGAGGCAGAAAATTTTTCATCCCACGTGGCTGCTTACATCGTAGTGTATGGCAACACAAGTGAAATTTCATTAATAAAATTAACGGAATTACGTTGAGATAGATGAAAGTGAAATAATTTTAAAAGTTAATAGATGATTTTTTAAAAAAATAAAGGTATTAGACTAAAATGAATAATAGATAATTTATTAAATTAAGTCTATCGAATTCATACACGTCAATAAAAAAGGAAAATTATCAAGCGGTAATTTTTTATATAATATTTTTATTTTATTTTATTGTAATAACATGTTAATATCTCATAACTATATTGGATTCCTATTAATTTAAAATTAAACTGTGTCGAACTCCATAAAAGAAAAAACTCTCTTAACACTTGTTTTTTTATTTATAAGACTCGAATTTAAGATTTTATTTAAAGAGAAATGAGCTCCTTTCACTTAATTCAATAGATTTTTTGTATA